GATCACGTTGTTGTGCTCTAAACCTGGTAGCTCTTTGCCACTTCTCAATGTAATGGCTTTCGCATACTCTTTTGGGTTTGGTTCAGGCTTACCAGGTAAGCTACCTTGGCTTCTTGAAGTGGATGCCTGATTCTGTTTCAGCTCCCTTATCTCTTGCTGCATGGAAGCATACTGAATCTCAGATCTTTGTTGACCCTGTAGCAACTGCTGTAGTATCCCACACATATCTGGTCCCATCTGCTGACTCTGAACTGGCGGTTGCTGGATCAAATGCTGCTGAACTATCGGCTGCTGATTAAACCTGGAGGCGCTTTGAGCTGTTGCTGTTGAGACCTGAAGTTGCTGACCGGATTCTGATGTTGTGGTTGACCATATTGTTTTTGAGGCTGACTGAACTGTGGCTTAGGCTGAAAAGAACTCTGAAATTTTTTCTTAGGAGCATAGCTTTGTTGGTTTTGCTGAGGAGGGCACACCTGATCTTGAGGATTTGCTACATTGGGGTTGCGGTATGAGAGGTTCTGGTTGGCTCCATAGTTATTGAACCGCTGATACCTCTGTTGATTCCCAATATAGTTGATCTCTTCCTCTGTGAAGCCATCTTCATTGATGTTCTCAAAGCTTGGAGAATCATTAAAGTCACCAACATAGTGAATTGGTTTTTGAGAAACCAATTTCAGCTTTTCTAGTTCACGTCTCAGCTCTTTTACCTCTCTAGTAAGCCTTTGATCTGAGCTTTTTTTGTCCTGTCATAATCCTCACCATATGTGTCATTAGACATGGCCAAATTCTCTACAAGTTTTATAGCAGATGTAATCTCTTTTGCCAAGAAATTACCATTGGAGGCTGTGTCTAATTGATTCCTTTTCTGTGGTAAAGCTCCTCTATACAGTGTAGAAAGTAGAGAAGCATCAGAAAAACATGGTGTGGACACTGATTAGTGTAGCTTCTAAACCGCTCCCAAGCTTCCCTAAAGCTTTCATTGTTATGTTGCCTGAAGCTTGAAATTTGGTTTCTCAGCTTAGCTGTCCTAGAAGTAGAGAAGAACTTGGATAAAAAGGCAAGCTTGCACTGCTCCCAAGTCTGTATGGAACCTCCATTGGTGTGCCTTGTCTCCTAAGCTGAATGGGAATAACCTGAGCTTGAAGCTGTCTTCTGAGACACCATTCATTTTGGTGAGGTCACAAACTCTGTCAAACTGGTCTAGGTGCTCCAAAGGATCCTCCATTGGCAAGCCATGAAATTTGGAGTTTTGAACCATGTTGAGCAAGGAAGCCTTCACCTCAAAATTGTTATTCTGAACTGGTGGTGCTTGGATTCCTGCTCTATGCTGGTGTAATTGGCTCTATTATTCTCCCCAACAAAAACTGGTGGAGGTTCTTGTCTCCTTTGAGCTTGATGCTGAGGAATGAATTGAGCCTGTTGCTCATTCCTATTAGCCTGCTGCTGATTCTGCTGAGCCTGTCTCTCATTCCTTTGTGCCATGTTTATATTGACAAAGGTTTGCTTCTCATTTTTCTCAGCTTGAACCTGATTCCATTGAGCTCCATTACCATGCTGAATCTGTTGCCCCTCTTGAACCTGGTGCTCAATGTCAACCATGTGGTGCTCTCTCTGTTGTTCCATATCAGCTGCTCTGTCAGTTTCCTTTGCATGTCTATCTCTTCTTCTTCTTGGCACTAAGAGATTGATGTTGTCATTCAGAGGAAATGGTGGACCACAACTTCTAGACCTTGATCTGGTGTTCATACACCTGAAAATAAAGACAGAACTTGCAAAGTAATCAGTAAAACAAAAGGAAAAAACTTGATCTCAAGAACAGATCTAAGCCTAATGCTAAACAATCCACAATTTGGCAACGGCGCCAATTGATAGACAAAAATTTTCAGGTCTCGAGGGCTATCAATCCCTTTAATCAATGTAGTATAAAAGGTGTCAAACCAAGCATGTGGAAACTATACACTAAGCTATGTTATCTGTTTCTTAATTCAAGTAAACAAGTGAAGTTTTGATTAAATTAATGACTACTAAAGACTTAAACAAGATTAGTGACTAAGCAAATGATCAAAACAAGTAGCAAATGACAAATGATATGGATATGAAATTATGGAAGCATGAGATTCTAGACATGATAGTTGGTTAGGGTGTTTAGAAGCTAAACTAGAAATGCTAATGACAATAATGAAACATGATTCAGAACTCTAATCAAGCCTTAATCTTTCCCAAGTATCAAGACACAAATCAAGTTATTTCACATACCCAATCATCATTGGAGATCAAACAATAAGACAGCATTAAGAATCAGTTCTAAGTGATCATTTATGCAAATAACAAAACATCATCATGTGGTTAATGCATAAACCTCTAATATAGCTCTTTCAGGAATTTAATCAAACACTTGTGATGCATGAAAAACCCAGATTCTAGATCACAAGTGATATGCAGGGATCTAGCTTAGAGATCAGCTATTTAGAGAGATGAAAGCATTGATCTAGCCCTAAGCACTCCTAATCTAGCACTTTAGCACCCTAACCTACATATCTAGAACTTCATTAAGGAGACTACTCACTAATCATACTAATCTCTCTTAAATCTTTGCAAGTAGAGTAGATTAGCATGATTAATGGATGGAAATAATGATAGAGATGATAGATAAGATAGGTTGCAGATTTAAACACACAAAAGGTCTTTGATTTCTCTTGATTCAAACTCTCAAAAAGGGATATTTCTCTTCAAATGAGTTTTTCACAAAAGAGGCAAAGCAATTAGAGAGAATAAAGCTTGTCCTTAGGGTAAAACCATAAAAAAGTGTTTATAGTCTCTTAAACTAACTGGGTCAGCCCGGAACAAACCGAGTCCTGACCCAGCCTTGATGGGTAAAGGTGAGGTTGCCAAGGTCAGATGATTCTTGGCAAGACCGTGACAAAGTGACTGCGTCAAAGATCAAATGGTTGTTCTTGAAGAATAAGGCTGCCTCAGCTTGATTTGGACCGTGATGCATGGCCGTGTCATGTTCTTTCTGGGTTTGGACGATGATCATCTTGGATCGCCACGGTATTGCCTAGCTCGTGTCTCTTGAGCGTGGCAAAGGAGTGGAACATTCGGTGGTTGTCACGGCCTGATGATTGGCTGTGGCGTCTTGGTCGTGTCAAGTCCTTTTAAGTGTTTGCCGTGGTCAGATGCAAGCCGTGTCTCTTGCCCATGTCATTTGCCGAAGGTTGGCACTCTGAAGCAGTATCTTCCCACGGTCAAGTGTGGATCGTGGCAATATGACCGTGTCATGAGCCTCTGTCTTTTTAGCAAGCTTCGGATGTTGCCACGGCTAGGTGTATGGCTGTGGCATTGTAACCGTGTCAAATGCCTAGATATGTCATATTATGCCACGGCCAAGTCCAGACCGTGGCGTTCTCACCGTGTCAGAGTATGACACTTAGCATAATTTCAACTCTTAGACGCCTGATTGACATGTCTGTCTCCCGCCTTCCGGAACTCACAGCTCACAAATCTAAATGACACTAAAACAAGTCTACAAGAAATATGACTCATTAAGATCGAACTTTGCTGAAGAAATTTTTGGTGCTTGGGGAGTGGAAGGTCCCTCAGACGGCTCATCTCTGCAGTGCATCAAAACGATCAAAAAGAAGCTCTTGGACCAATGTTTACTCCGGAGACGGTATCTTTCAGCACATAGCTCCAAACCGGATGATCTCAGCTGTTATGGAAATAGCATTCAAAAAATTGAATCATGATGAAGGCCCCGACAACTGAATCAGACTGGAAAAGCATCGTCCCATGCAATATTTGTGACTCACTGGATCGGATTTGAAACTGTGGCGAGAAAGGTGCGTCTTCCGGTGAGCTTAACTCTCAGCTCACGGTTCCAAACCCAATGATTCTACCTGCTCTGGAACCGTGACTCAATCTTCTCCAACGTTGCTGAATAAGCCGACAGCTGAATCGGATTGGAAGCTTCCCTGGACATGCATTCTTTGGAGCGTATCGGCAGAACTGGTTTTGGCCGAGAACTTGTGTGCCGCGGTAAGCATTTTGGTCGACAGGAAACCTTCCCGTTAAGCTTTTTAGCCGGTAAAACCTCTTCTCCGGTACAGTCTGATGTTGATAACACCCGATAAGCTGTTTTCATCATTTTTGAACCTCCAAAATCCATTTCTTCACCTGGTTCAATCTCTCAACTCCAAGTAGCCTCCAGAAGTACCTAAAAGACAGTCCAAAACATGCAAGACTCACTTGGACCTAATGCAAACCTCTAAGTCCTAAAACAACATCTAAAGACCTAAAATGCATGAAATAAGACATGATTTAGAATGAAATATACATCCTAAATCATGCAAATTATGAACATATCAGAGACTAATCGAATTCAACAAATTTATGAAGTCCATTCCTCTCTATCTCGGATTCGACGACATCTGGAAGCAAGGCTGCCTTCAAGTTTTCTTTAGATACAATAAGGAGACTAAGGAGAACATTTCTACCTATTTCAGAAGAGCCAGATATCTATCTTTTCCTAGATCATCACCTGATGCAGCTGTTTACAGGATCCATCTCAAAGATCCCCAAGAAGCCAGTGACTACACAAACAAGATCAGAAAAGAAGCACTGGAAGAGTTCAATCAAGTAGTTCAGACTCTGCCCAAAGGAATTTCATTTGCCAAAACATGTAGAGACTATGACGCAGTCGGAATGCACCAAGTCAACAAGCGTTGGTCTTGGAATTGAAACTCAAGCTCGCAAGCGACAAGCTCGAAGAAAATATGCTCTGGAATCCACCAGAAAGGTAAGGCTCGAAAACTCGAAGTCTTTGATTAATAATTATGATAAAAGTTATCCCTAAAACATATCTCCTAAGGTTCTTTATATAGAGAAAGCCTAAGACATAAAATAGGTAATTCCTAAATTCCTAGAAATAAGGAAAGTTACTAGAATCCTAATTAGAAAAGGAAAATACTTAAAAAGGAAAATACCTAGTAGACTAGAATGGATTAACCGTCTCCTGCATCAGTCTCCTCCACCTCCAAAGAACTCGACCCCGAGTTCTCATCTGGATAAAGAACACCATCGGCATGATACTCATAAATGTCAGCTACATTGAACGTATGAGAGATGTTCATGTCGTCTGGGAGATCCACCACATAAGCATTGTCATTAAGCTTCTGCAAAATCTTGAAAGGACCATACTTGCGAGGCTGAAGCTTGCGATAAGTACCAAATGGAAACCTTTCTTTTCTGAGAAACACCATCACTTCATCTCCTTCTTTGAAAACCTTGAGCCTTCGACGTTTATCTGCTGCTCTTTTATTCTTTTGCCCAGTTGCTTCTAATCTTGCTCGAACCGCTTCTTTAGTTTCCAAAATGTCTATAGCCATTGCCTCAGCTGATGCACTAACTCCAGGAGCTTTTGGTAACGGCACTAAATCGACTACATGCTTCGGGACAGAGGTATACACCAAGGAAAATGGTGACTTTCCTGTAGCTGAATGCACGGCACTGTTGTATGCGAATTCCACTTGTGGCAAAGCGAGATCCCACTGTTTTGGTTTATCACCACAAACACTTTGTATCATATTGCCCAACGTCACGTTTGTCACCTCGGTTTGTCCATCACTCTGTGGATGAGCTGTAGAACTTCTTTTCAAGCTCGTTCCAAACATCCTCCATAAAGTAATCCAGAAATGGCTGAGAAACTTGGTATCTCTGTCTGAAACGATGGATTTAGGAACCCCATGGAGACGTACGATTTCACGAAAGAACAATTTGGCGATGTTGGTCGCATCTGCTGTCTTCCTACAAGCGATGAAATGCGTCATTTTGGAGAATCTGTCAACAACAACAAACACAGAATCCACACCTCGTTGTGTTTGGCAAGCCCAACACAAAATCCATGGATAAATCTTGCCATACATCTTCAGGAACAGGTAAGGGCATGTAAAGACCTGTATTCTGCGATTGTCCCTTGGAAACCTGACAGACATAACACTTTCAAACAATAACTCCAGCGTCTTTCCTAAGATGCGGCCAATAATACCTTTCCTCCAAACTTGCAATAGTTTTATCTCGTCCCAAATGACCACTAAGACCTCCACCATGCAATTCTCGTATTCAGCTTCTCTCGCAGGGAAGAACAAGGAATGCAAAGTCGATCTCCTTTAAAAAGAAAACCGTCACGAATATGGAAATCAGCCGAGGGATGCTTCCCACAACACTTGTTCCACAATTCCTTGAAATCTTCATCTTGTTCATATAATTCCCTTAAAAACTCAAAACCCACAATCTCATGTGCTAACGTAGTCAACAAAGAAGCCCTTCTACTCAAAGCGTCTGCTACCTTATTGAGTGTTCCAGACTTGTGCTGAATAATAAAAGGGAATTCTTGTAGAAAACTAACCCAACGCGCATGCATCTTGTTTATCACCTTCTGGCTGTGAAGAAACTTGAGTGCCTGATGGTCCGTAAAGAGAACAAACTCGCGTTGAACCAGGTAGTGTTCCCATTGCCTTAAAGCTCAAAACACAGCATAGAATTCTTGGTCATACGTACTCCACTTATGACGTGCGTCACTCAATTTTTCACTAAAGAAAGCAACATGTCGCTAGCTCCAATTCCCACACCACTTGCGTCACACTCCACCTGAAACACCTTATCAAAATCCGGCAAAGCTAAAACTAGAGCAGTACAAAGCTTCTCCTTAATCAACGCAAAGCTCTTGTCTTGTTCCGGACCCTACTGAAACTTCCCCTTCTCAAGCACTCAGTAATGGGCGCAGTAATGGTACTGAAGTCTCTTACGAATCTTCTGTAGAAAGTAGCTAAACCATGAAAGCTGCGTACCTCAGTTACTGATTTAGGAACTGGCCACTCTTTAATTGCACTTACTTTGGCTTCATCCACCTGAATTCCATCCTCACCAACGACGAACCCAAGAAATAGCAGCTTGTTTGTGCAAAACGTACACTTCTTTAAGTTCACGTACAGCTGGTTTTCTTGTAAGACTTGCGAAACCCGTTTTAGATGCTCCAAGTGGTCGCCTTTGGTTTTGCTGTAGATCAAGATATCGTCGAAGTAAACCACCACAAAAAACCCAATGAAAGGACGGAGAATTTGATCATTAGTCTCATGAAACTACTAGGAGCGTTTGACAATCCGAAAGGCATCACCAATCACTCGTATAATCCGTCTTTGCTCTTAAAAGCAGTCTTCCATTCATCTCCAGGTCTGATTCGAATCTGATGGTACCCACTTCGAAGATCTATTTTCGAAAACACTCTCGATCCATTTAACTCATCCAGCGTATCTTCCAACCGTGGGATAGGAAACCGGTACTTGATTGTTATCTTGTTGATGGCCCTAGAATCAACACACATTCGCCACTGATTACCCTTCTTTGGAACGAGAAGAACCGGTACAGCCCAAGGGCTCATGCTCTCGCAGATTAACCCTTTCCTCAGCAGATCTTCAATCTGGTCTCTTACAATTTCATTCTCTTTAGAACTCATTCGATAGTGGGGAAGATTAGGTAGACTAGAACCTGGAATCAAGTCAATGTGATGCTGAATATCACGCATAGGGGGCAGGTCGTTAGGTAGTTCATCCGCAACTAACTCTTTGTAGTCTTCCAAAATTTCTAAAACCTCACATGGAGTTGTTGTCTCCTCCATCACGGCGCTCATCAACCCCTTGACCACAATCGGATAAAAACACTTTGATTCCTTAACAGCCTTGTCAAGTTCTTTGTCATCATGTGACATGACTAGGAAGCTTGACTTCCTCTCCTTTGTAACGCTACCAAAATCCTTAACAGGTGCCATTGCAATCTTATGAGTTCCCCACGTAAACATGATCACATTGTCACGTCCTCGGTACGTTATGTCGTTATCATATTGCCATGGTCGTCCAAGGAGAATATAACAAACATCCATGTCTAAACCATCACAGATTATCTCCTCTTTGTAGTGCTTACCAATTGATAGAGGAATTTTGCAAGTTTCACTAACTCCTACCTTAGACCCTTTCTTCACCCATCCGAGACTATACGGCTTTACATGATGAGTCGTGGGAAGTTTCAAATATTCTACCAGCTTTTGAGAAACTAAATTCTCGGAGCTCCCATTGTCAACAATCACATTGCACACCTTGTTCGGAATAGAACAATGCGTCCTAAACAGATTCTTGCGTTGACCCTCTTCTTTAGATGATAGCAAGAGTCGCTGTAACACAATGTTGATTCTGTCCTCAGATTCCTCTTCCGCAAATTCAACTCCCTCATACTCCTCATTCTCCATGAAGTCGTCTTCCTCTTCTTCTAGCAATGCCACCGTCTTTCTACTACGACAGACGTTCGACTTGTGACCTGTTCCTTGACAACGGAAACACTTGTCGAGGGTTGGCCTAGACAATACTCGTATAGATAGGCCGATCAAAGCCATGGCACTGCCAATTGGAAGGAACTGTAAAACAAAGGAAGCAATTAAAAATTTACTAGAGACCAGAATAATATTTACAGAACCAACTCTCAGGTTTTGTTATATGCATACAAGTTTGAAATACAACATAATAACCAGAAGACTATAAATGAAACCAACTCTCAGGCTACAGAATCATAACTCACTTGATGATCATAAAAATCTAATGTTAGAATTCGAACATAAACTGACCGGGTAAAGATTTCCAATATGAATCGGGAAATGCAGCATCATAGAACTTCTCTGGAACATTTGCAGGGCTAGGAGCCAATAAAAACTTCCAGTAACCAGATAAAGACTTGACAAACGGAAACCCCTCCACCCAAAAAGCAGCACTATCAAGAGCACCTTGAACAGCATCCTCGTTCCAAACAGCAGATTTTGATACGGTGAGATCCACGTTTGTTCGCTGATACCAGTACCTTAAAGACCCTATACAATCATACTCTCAATTGAGTTGATATACAAGTTAAAACCACACTTAATTGCAGCTATAGAGTATCTGAAAAAGCCCTAACTTTAGCTATCATCAGCCATGGTCAATTGGAAAAAGATCGACTTTCCATATAGTTATTTAGGGTAATGAATTACCTTCAACGGAATCATGGCAACGCAGGGTGACATGAGGGTCTCTCTTGCGCCACTGGAAAAGGGTCTGATCCTCCCAAACTCTATACCCATTTTCGGAGGGAATAATCATTTGCGTCGCAAGAGAAGCCATGCTGCTTGCTTTACCCGCTGTGAATTTCGGAACAGAGGAGAAGAATGAAATTCGGGTAAGGATCAAAGTTGATCCATTTGTTGTCGATGGAAGAAGAAGAAGAAGAAGGAGGTGGAGAGAAACACAAACACTGAAATTGGAGCTCGCCACGTCACGACGATACCGTATCGTCAGGATCGTCGGGAAGAGACAGTATCGTCGAAATTAACCCATTTTTTTTTTTTTTAATTGGGTTTGGCCTATGATTCTGGGCCTGAACCCGGCTTGATATTCTAATGGACGTGCTCTTACTCCCCTTCTATTAACAATCCTCTTTGAATTCGTCTTATGTACATGCTCTAGCTCTTTTAATTTTTTAAAAAAAAAAACTTTTGAAAATTCAAACTGACCTAAAAGGTAAGTGAAAAGCCAGCACGTTTTCTTTTAATTTGTTGGGTGAATCCGTGTTTCGCCAGCTTTACACTTTTGCCCTTCATATTCATCCAACGACCCTCCTTTCGTCTCACTACGTAATCGTCGCTCCCCACTCATTCATTATTCAAACAAAAAAAAAACAAGAATCTTCCAAAAAAAAAGTCGAAATAAAAACAAAAAAGAATCATCAGAGCCGAGAAAGAACATAAAAAAAAAATCTCTCTCTTCGTTCGTTCTCTCGCAGATCTGAATCATTCTTCTTCTTCCTCCGTTCCTCTCGATCTAAAAACAATGGCGACACAACCACCATCTTCATCCTCAGCCAGGGAAGAATTCGTCTACATGGCGAAACTCGCGGAGCAAGCCGAGCGTTACGAAGAAATGGTCGAATTCATGGAGAAAGTCGCAAAAGCCGTCGACAAAGAAGAACTCACCGTCGAAGAACGTAACCTCCTCTCCGTCGCCTACAAAAACGTGATCGGAGCTCGCCGTGCCTCGTGGCGAATCATCTCCTCGATCGAGCAAAAGGAAGAGAGCCGAGGAAACAACGACCACGTCTCCCTGATCCGTGACTACAGAACCAAAATCGAAACCGAGCTCTCCGGCATCTGCGACGGTATCCTCAAATTGCTCGATACTATGCTTATTCCCGCTGCTGCTTCTGGAGATTCAAAGGTTTTCTACCTGAAGATGAAAGGAGATTATCATAGGTACTTGGCTGAGTTTAAAACTAGCCAAGAGAGGAAAGACGCTGCAGAACATACACTCAATGCCTACAAAGCTGCTCAGGTTTGTTTTCCATTTTCCCGATTTGGTTGATTCGATGTGATGATTCTGTATTTGAAATTTTGATTTGGGTTTTTTTCTAGGATATTGCTAATGCCGAATTGGCTCCAACACACCCGATTCGTCTCGGTCTTGCGTTGAATTTCTCTGTGTTTTACTACGAGATTCTCAATTCTCCAGACCGTGCTTGCAATCTCGCTAAGCAGGTTTGCTTCTATGATTGTATCAGCGTATTTCCATTAATTGTTTGTGTGTATGTGTGTTGACGAGTTTCATCAATTGGATTCACTAGGCTTTTGATGATGCAATTGCTGAATTGGATACTCTTGGTGAAGAATCGTACAAGGACAGTACTTTGATCATGCAGCTTCTTCGTGACAACCTCACTCTCTGGACCTCTGATATGCAGGTATAGTTATACTTCAACTTCTTGATTTCTGACCTTGAGAACCTAAGTCAAATGGTTTAGTTTACATCCTGTTGCTTCCACTTTCTTTCTATTCAAATAGTTTAGGTTTCTGAGTCCCTATTAGTCACTCCTGTTTGTTGCTTGATTTCTGATTCCATGAGCCTAAATCAAATGGTTTTAGTTTACATCCTGATGGCTTCATTGCTTCAACTTTCCTTTTGTTCAAGTGGTTTAGGTTTCTAAATCCATATGATTCTTGTTTTGTTGCTAAATATCTGAAACCATGAGCATATATCAAATGGTATAAGTTTACATCCTGATGGCTTCTACTTTCTTTTTGTTCAGATGGTTTAGGTTTCTAAATCCATAGTTGTGACTCTTGTTTTGCTTCTGAAACCATGAGCCTAAATCAAACGGATTTAGTTTACATCTTGATTGCTTCCATTTTCCTTCTATTCAAATGGTTTAGGTTTTGAATCCATATTAGTGACTCTTATTTTGTTGATTGATTTCTGGAACCATGAGCCTAGTTAAGCCATTGTTAAAGACTAGATTTGGAAATCGAATACTTCAATTTAACACACTCCACTTTCTTTCTATTCAATTAGTTGAGGTTTCGGAATCCATATTAGTGACTCTTGATTCTTGTCTTGTTGCTTTATTTTTGAAACCATGAACGTAATTAAGCCATTGTTAAAGACTTGATTTAGAAATCGAATGGTTTAGTTTAACATTCTAATTCTGAGTTTATGATTGTCAAATGTTGAATCAGGACGATGATGATGTAATTAAAGAAGCAGCAGCAGCAGCGCCAGCAGCGCCGAAGCCTGCTGAAGAACAGCAGCAATCCTAAGCTTTCTCGCGACTTCATTGTTGTTTCAGTATCAAAAATTTCTCCATTATTATGTTTTTCCTTGGAGAAGTTTCTTTGTGTGTTGGTTTCTGATTTTTCCGTTTTCCTAATCCCGAAGCTTCTAAGGCCGTCTAATTCCTGTCCTTGTTTGCTCTTTTCAAATTGTGGATTCTTATTATTTTCTTGTGATTTGACTTCGTCTTTGTTTTCTCTGTTTGTATTGAAATTCACCTTCTTCTCTTATCAATGGCTTGGCTTTTATCTAATTATTCATTTTAATGTCACGAAAGATCTTGGATTTATAATTTATCTCAGCAAATAATTGCAGAATGAGTTCTAGTTTGCTCAAGTTTTACATAGTGTACATAGTGTACAATGTTCTTATAGCTTGAGTTTGCTTAGATTGATCCGCTCGACAGGATATGTGTATGCCTCATAGTTGATTTGCTGTCCTAGACCACTCAGCTTTGTCAAAGCAGTTATCAAATCAACCTGAAAACATGTTCAAGACTAGTATGAGTTTAAAACCAGAGGAGAATATATGGTAAAGCTAAATCTAGCAAAACACAAACCTCGTAATCTGTCTGAGATACAGTTTCACGGCTTCGTTGATACTTCTGAACCCATGGAGCGACTTGTGGGTCGCTAGCTAAGAGCTGTTCTGTTGCGGCTTGATCAGGACCCAAGAATGCAGACATTACAGCTAGCTACAAATACACAGGTTAGCAGTAAATTTGGTTGATCAAATAAACCGTTTTTTTGAACCGGTAAAACCAATGTACCTGACGAGGACCTAATCCGATGGCAATGAACTTATCTTTCATCTCTTGCACAGTTGCTTTTCTCCAAAGTGGAATTCTCCCTTCTGGATCTGCCTCTGTTGCATCACTCCTTCCGAATTGCCTATCAAACAAAGCCCACTAAAGATTCACAAAAGTCAGTTTCCATTTACACAATGTGTGACGACTCAAACGTGAGGTAGCATTGTGTACCTGACCACTTGAACCATATGCAGTGTAGAGTAAGTTCCCTTTCTCTTCATTTCCACCGCATTTGCGTATTGCCGATGCTAAAAAAGTAGACTTGACCGCTGCTTGTCCTACAGAATATAACCATGAAAGACTTTTAAGTTTCACAATGATGATGCTCTGTTCATGAACAAGCTTTGGTATATATCAATCATCACCTGCTAATTGAATGAGATCTGCATATGAAATAGGTCCACCCTTAGAGAAAGAGTCAATCTCCTTCTTTGCTTCTTCTATGAGAGCCAACCCATCAGAAAGCCCTGCGTTCTCTGCTCTGCTTATCTCAGAGCTACACATAAAGATAAGATTAAGCCTAAGGTTATTTCCCATTTGAGCTAATGCAGAGAACGTTTCAAGAGCAAGAAGTACCTGAACCGTATGGATCCATTGGCTCCCCCGGATTTTGTAGCCTACACAAATTAATGCTATTTGTCAAGAGTTGTGCAATCACCAGAGAGATGGATAAGATAAATTATGAAGCCTGACCTTGTCATAAGTCATGGCATCATTAAGAGCTAGAGTAAGTATGGAAGGTACAAGCTCCGGTTTAGCCTTAACCGCTTTCGAAAGCATAAGCTTGATCTTTGCTGCATAATAAAAGTGAAACCTTTAGAGTCAAAACAGCCTCTTGCTACTTCATTTTTGTTTTACATGAATCTGTTTGAGAACTCACATTGAAAGTCGGATCTTTGTCTACGCTGATTCAAATCAGCAGCTTTTGCATCACCCACATGGTTAATGAAGCCCTTACCTATTAACTCCTAAGAAGAGAGATCATCACTGCCAAGGACTCATCAATCACAATATACCCACAGTTCAACTATTTCTGAAGCAAATTGTGACACAAAGACATCAAGATTCAGAGCAAGAATCCTGTAAAATTGAAGATTAAGGTACCATTCCAATGGCGGTGCCGGCGAGTTTTAAAACATCCCGGCGGTGGAAAGCTAAACATTCGCCGGAAACTTGGGGATCGATCTTGCAACATCGAATGATGAGACCCTGATGATCATCATATTAGCATAAGAGTGTAAATGGGTTAGAAGAAATGAAGAGGCAAAGAATGTGAAATGGTAGAAACTCACAGAGCGATGAGAAGAAGAGAGTGTGAGATGTTGAAGATTGTTTGTGTTGGTGAAGGAAGGAACAGTGGAGAGGAAAGAAACTCCTCTCATTTCTGGGTTCTGATGTGAGAGAGAGAGCGAGAATGTGTCTGGAGGAAATGGAAATGTGTGTTTGGGTTTTGTGAAGGGGTACACCTGTGGATTTTGTGTTATCCAAAATCTGCCAATCATATGAGTCCTAAATGAAAATTGGGTTAAAAGGGGAGGTGTTTTCGTTATAATTATAAGAAAATGTAGGGCTTGTTTTAGAAAATAAATAACCATATGTAAAGCCAATCAACCAAATTTGGGAAAAAACTTGAGGTGACAATTTTGTAACTTTTTCCAGAGATGAGATCATTGAATTTTTTTTTTTTTTTTTTTGACAACGATGAGATCATTAAATAAGAGGTCATCTTTTTCAACTTTTCAAAGTTTACAACACTTAAGAAAAAAAAATTGATCACTAACCATCCCAACTACAACTAGCATGATGTACTGATAGATACATAAATAATTAATATAGTATGATCACACATCCGAATAAACATGGGTGATATGGTTCGCACCATAACAATTCTTCCTTTTTAGGTAAAAATCTTGAACAAATTCAACGCTTTTCAGGAAAGAAGAATGTAATTCACAATTTTTTTTACTTTTGTTAGCTTCAGATTGGGTCAGATCAGGTATCGAAATAGAATCAGCTTGTAATTAATTGAGTCAGATATGGGTGGGTTTTTTACATTTGGGCTTAGTTAGTTAAAAATTGGATTAGTTTGGATGTAAATGTGTTTAGAACTTATTCAGTACAAATTCTACAAATTAATACTCAATAAATTAATCTTATAATATTAGAGGAGAAGTACATTTAGGAAATTGACATCGGTTTTACGTGTTATATTACAATGAATGTCATTATATAAAAATGTATTCCACAAAAAAAAACTCAAACTAAAAAGGATCTGCGTCCTTTTAAAATGACCCGTTTAAAAGGACGCGGATCCTAATTCTGACCCATTTTGTATTCTCTCTAATCTTATTTATTTCAAATCTTCAATAAAAACGTAATTTAAACAAAATATCCTATTATTATGGATAAACTAAAATTCGCAATAACTATCGAATTCATTTGAATAGATTTGCAAAATTACGTATGCGAATTAAATCTACTTTAAATCCTGTTATGATATCTATTATTAATTATACCAATAATTATTGTTACCAATTACAACAATATGCACTATATTAGGGTAGACAATTCTAACCACTATCACATATTTCATTTGGGTTTTTTTTCCCATATTTATTAAACACAATATATTCTCATAAATGTATGTTACTTATCGTATTCCTTAAATTTTGAAATAATATAATAGGTGCTCATCTTTGAATTTATACCATAAGATATTTTGAATTTATCCCGTTTATATCGCATCTCCGTGTATATAGACAATTACAACTATTTTACAAAAATAACGTTATTTGATAGTTGGCATATCTATTACAAAAATTTTAATTTCACTAATATTCTTGGCCGCCAATTTATGTACATTTAATGGCTTATCAATAAACCCTATATTTTTTATTATAAATATACAACCTTTTCTTCCAAAACACTCCTCATCAAGTTTCGTTTTTCTCTCTGTTTTGTTTCGTTTTTCATTGTTCTTATGGCTTCCACAACGAAGCTAACCCCTTTAGCTGACGTTAAGCCTTATAGGGTTGGGTGGAAGGTTCAAGTGAAGGTGCTTCATACATGGAAACAATACCAAACTAAGAGTGGGGAGTCTTTGGAAATCATCCTGGCCGATGAAATGGTACAATATATTATTAATCGACATTACTTTTTAATATTTTGATTGTTCTGTTAAAATTTTTTAACTTTTTGATCATCCAGGGTACCCAAATCCACGCAACTGTCAAGAAAAACTTGCTGCATCGTTTTGAACGGATGATGGTTGTCGGTGAATGGAAGTTCATAGAGAACTTTTCATTGAATCAGGCTTCAGGACAATACCGGACCACCAAACATTAATTTAAGATGTCATTCATATCCTCTACAGTTGTCAGCAAAAGTTATAATCGGTCAGACAATACGTCTGTTTTTTTATTTATCTGAGTTTGTTACAATATTGGACGATGTAACCAATACAAGTTTTTTGGTTGGTAAGTTTACTGATATATTTCATATAATATGTTCATTCCTCTTAGTTTCAATAATTATCTGATGTTATTTTCCCAAATAGATGTTATTGGACAAGTTGAAAGTGTCTGTGAGTTGCAAACAATATCTGTTATGAATAAGGACACCAGCAAACTCGAGTTCCCTCTACGAAATTCTAAGTGAGTATATATATAAATACAGATACTTTGTTTTTTATTGTTTATTTTCATCTGTTTTATGTGATATGTGTTACAGTGATGAACGTTTACCATGCACACTGTGGGGAAAGCTTGGTGAGGAAGTCTATTCGGCTTGTCAGAGTGCGGGTGAAAGAAGTATCATTCTTGTGATCCGTTTTGGAAAAATAAACGTTTTCAAAGGTACATATTAATTTTGTTTATTCATAAATTTGTTCTTTTCATACAACACCATTGTTTTTTTTGTTTTTGTTTTGTTTGTTAAATATTGTAAGTGATCGTCGAATTACAAGTAGTTGTCAAACGACAAAGGTTCTGATAGATTTGAATGATCCTGATGTCATTGTCTTCAGGAATAGGTAATTTGTCTATGTATATTATATATGTGTCTTATCATTACGATTACGAATACAAATAATACTATTACCTATTCTTAGTTTACCTGAGAATTGCGGACATATTACCTTCTTGAGTAGCAAACCTCAACAAAGGATTTCTTATGGTGATGAGATTCATTTCGATCAGTTTCCAATGGTCACTATTTCAGAATTGCAAGATTGTCTTGAGGTATATGTTATTTTAAAACTTTGCTAGGGAAAACATCATAGATTATATAATTTTGACATTTGTATTTTTGTTTCATCAGGTTGGGAAATGTAAGATCATGTGCATCATCTACGCGGTTGACACAGACTGGTCGTGGTTTTATTTGGTTTTCACTAGGTGTGGTAAAAAAGTATACAAAATTCCAAAGAAGGAAGATCCAAAAATGACCAAGAAGAATAAGACCCTTTATTCATGTGAAACATGTGATGCAAAAGTGTCATCTGTGAGTGCGAGGTAAAATTTTTTACTATGTTTTTAGTATTCGTCTTAATTATTTAGCTAACGGTGCATTCGAGTATTTTAATACAATCTTTATATATTGCTAGATACAAACTTCATATTTGCGTTATGGACGATACCAGCAAGATCAAGTGTTTTTTATTATAGAAATGCGCAGGATATTTTAAATCAGAAAGCTGATGAAATTCTTAAGGGAACTTCGATGAGGTATTAATTGTAATTCTTAATCTATGATACAATTTTAGCTATTATGAATAAAGACTTTGTTTATTTAAAATGTCATGTGCGTTATAAACTTAGATACTAGATCCAGATGTTGTTTCTGATGCACAGCAAAACTTGATTGGGAAGACTTTTCAGTTTCTGATTTGTGTTGAGAAAGAAAATTTCTACGGTGGTAGTAATACATACCAAGTCACGAAGGTTTGGAAAGGAAATGATGTTTTATCCGCTGATGAAGTGAATGAATCTGAAGATATGGGTGATCAGAGTTTGCTCTTGTCTGGTAATAAGGTATAATTTCGAAAATCTTTATTTGGGTTGCGTATAATAATTTGTATATATTAATACACGGTCTTTGGCCTTTTATGTTTATATTTATATTTAAACCTTGTAGGTGTCGCTGATAAACACGCTGAGGCAAGAGCCTTCTTATGAGGTGGAAATTTGACAAGGGACTCGCTCGTGCACATGGATCTGGAAAAGTGATGGGCGTGATATAGCGAAAAAAATATGGTTATTTGAATTCGTATCTTCTCATGTTATTTCGCTATTGTTGTTCAACTTTTTGTTGAAATTTGTTCGGATGATACTCGTGCATTTGTTCTTCAACTTTAATAATTTATTCTTTTAATTTAACCATTACTAAGTTTACGTTATTTTATAAATTACGTGGGTATCGTGTTAATTTTATTGGGCCGAAATTAATATTGGCTCACGTTTTGCAGTGACATATTTGAGTAATTACTATTGTATATGTATGATGAAGAAATCGTAGATGAATCATACACTTAATTCGGAGTACATACTTTATTTTTATATTTTTCAAGATATTTTCCAATATTTATAGAAGATATATTCATTTATTTGTAAATGCTATTCTATGGAAATTTGTGATAATTGAGTCAACTATTAGTTAATAAGTTTTAATTAGAGCGGATTTTTGAGGAATATGAAACACACGGATGAAGCGTGAGTAGTCACCTTAATTACTTTTACGATTATAAATAAAATTAGAAGGGAACTTTCTTCACTCAAATACAATCCACTCTACAATTATTCCTCTCATGTGGTCCTCAGACCGATGTACAAAAAATATCTTTACATCCAAGAAAAATAATGTTTCTCTACTAAATATTTTTTGTACATCTGTCAAAGATCACATCAGAAATAAGTAGTTTCTTTCATTTCCTAAACAGTATTATTTTACATTTATATTATTCACCATAAAAGGTCGGATTATTATTTCTTATATGCTCATCTATGTAATTTATACCTAAGTAAATTACTAATTTAAATCGCAATTCATTTTTATTATGTGGATGTTCGTGGAATTAATTATTAAGTATGTAATTATTATCTTATACATTTCATTCAGTTATTAAGCAACATTATTTAACGTACAGAACAAATATAATAATTTAGTGAATGAGTTTTAACAAAATAATATTTTATATAGTGGGAAAATTCGATTGCATATATAATATATAATCATATTGAGTGAATATGTGAATTACCTAATTATATATTGTCTTAACGATTTACAGTATGCAATATAAATTATAATATTTTGCAAATATACAGCGTGAAATTGTAATGGAAATATTTTTAAGATGCTTCATATCTATGGCAAGTAACAATAATTGTTATGTACATAATTCGATTTATGGTAAATTATTCATATATGTGAATGATAATTTTATATAAATATATTTAAATTGGTTATGTTT